CCCCAAAACCCCAAAACCCCAAAACCCCTTAATTAATAATTAACATTTTAGCAGCAATTATGAAATTAAGAATATTGGATATTAATAAAATATTTTAATCATATGAGGTTGATATCTTCATCATCATAAATTTAACTTTCTGTATCACATTATGGCTCAGACTTCGCAAAATGTTAAAATACCTCCTCTAAAGTTGATTTTGACAATGTAAAATCTTTAATTTTTTTCTCCTCAAGCATTTAAGTGATGAATTTGAAAAGATGCACAATTTTGTACTTTTGTCCTAACTCACGAATATTTTAGTAATCTATGAGTTCATCAAAATTGTAACTAAGCATGCCGATTTTATCTTATTAGCTTAATTCCATTTTCTTACAGAATGGGAGTTTAGCCTTAATTATATCATCAATTTCTAGCTCATGCTTCCTCGAATAGAGTTCAATTTTAAGTTGATATCCTTTTCCATGCTGCTACTTTAGATAAGCAGGAGTTCCAAAATCTCTGAATCTCCCTTCAACCATCATAGCTATATTGTCACAAATATCCTCTGCATCGTCTATTCTCTGAGTAATGATAACAACTGAAGAATTTTCAAGATTTTTCAGATAACTGAAGACTCTTTTCCTTGTTATAGGATCTAAGGCAGCTGAAAACTCATCTAGTAAATAAATTTAAGGTGCACCAATCATTGCTATCGCTGTGCACAATTTTCTTTTGTTTCCACCACTTAAATATTTTGAAAGTCTCTTAGAATACTCATTCAAGCTTAATACTTATTTTATGTATTCCATTTGTTGATCAATATAATCTTTTGGGAAACCCTTAATATTACCGACAAATCTCAAATGCTCATCGACTGTTAAATTATCCCAAAGAATGTTGTTCTAGCAGACTAATCCAAAGTTCATTCCACTTCTACTGTTTGAAAATCTCTCTATGCTTTCTCCAAGTAGATTTATGTGTCCCTAATTTCTAGGTTGTTATACAGCAAGCATACTATATAAACTGGTCTTACCAGCACCGTTAGGACCCAGAATTCCTATAATTGAGCCTTTTTAAAGTTAGAAGTTAATCCTATTAACAGCTATTTTCTAATCACGATATACTTTACTCAGTCTAAAGGTCTCTATAATAAACTTCATTGTTGGATTTTAATTTGATGGAGATGTATCTCTTCCTAAAGTGCCTCTACTTTAAAGATTTTTGCTTATTCTTTAAGAATCTGAGTTATCTAGTAAACCAGTATCTCTTACATTTTAAAGCTGCTATATTGTTTTCATTTTTTTAATGTCCAAATACATTACAACCATTAGCAATATGATCCCGAAAACTACCTAAATAAAACAGAAACCAAATTAAAGCAATATCTTTGTATGATCTCCTTCTTTAATTAAATTATTTGTAACAGGAAATCCTTAGGCCCAGTAATAAAATACAAATGGATCTATCATGAGGATATATTTCAAATCATACTCATTAGCCTCATATTCATAAAATTTGGTCTGAGTAACTGATGAAATAGCGTCAGCCATCATAAAGCCGAGTGTATACAAAATTAATCCAGAATTTCGAAAAGCATTATCATATTCTTTGAAAGCAAAGCCTATCAAGTATGTTACTGGTATAATGATAAATCCAAAAGCAACTGTGCAGCTAATCTTCATAAGTTGGTAATCAATGTATAGATTTAGTCTAATTGCATTACAGAATAATATTTATATCAAATTAGGGACCAAGAAGAAAATGTAATCACAAATGTAATAACCAATATAATAGGGGATTGGTCTCAAGCCCATCATTCTCATAAGAAATCTTTTTTGACTTTAGAAATCATTGCCTAATACATAAAGGAAAATTCCTGATACTAAACAAAAAACCAAAGTCTAAATTCTTATTACAAGAATCATAAATTGAGGATCCTAAACGGTCTTTTCTAATTGATTAAAGTAAATACAAAGATCTACACACATTCTTGGCAAAGTTAGACAGAAAAAATAGAACCACATTCTAGGAGATTTTAAGAATAGCTTAAATCTAAGTTTTATCATGAGCTTAATTTAGTGAAATGCGCTTTTTTCTAAAAATTAAGGTTTTTCAATCCTTGTTTTAGCTACAGTAGTCCTCTGTTATAGTCTAAAATTTTTATTTAGTGTTAAAGTGTCCCTAATATTTTCTATTATTGGTTCTGAATCTGAATGCTGAATTTGTATTAAGTCATTTAGATATTCATTCAAAGAACCATTATAAATATGAAGGTAAGCATCTTCTAGGTTGTTCATTGATATATCTGGATAAAAGTAAGGATAGCTATTCAGGATTTCTTCTAATACCTATGCAATAAATGAATGCTAATTGAATGGTATCATAAAAGTTAGTTTTTATTTTGTCTGAGGGATTAATAGGTATGATTAAGGGATGATATTTTATACCATTTAAGCTAAGCTGTTTTTATGAATGTCAAACTCCTTTTGATAAAGTTGATTTTCAGGGTATATCTCAAGCCTAAAACCGTAACAATGGGCTTTCTTCAAGTTTTCTGGAGTATCAAAATGAATAACTTATCCCTCTTTAATTATACAAATCTTGTCTCCTAATTAATCAGCCTCATCAATATGCTGTGTGGTCATTAAGATAGATCTACCGATCCCGATTTCCCTAATAATTTTCCAAACTTAAATTCTTGATTAGTAGTCAAGACAAGATGTTGGTTCATCTAGAATGATAAATTTGGCTTCGCCAATTAAAGCCATTCCGAGAGATAACTTCCTTTTCATACCTCCTGATAAATGCTTTACAGGTTTATCTTACTCATTCTCAAGCATTACAGTTTCTAGAGTCTAAGATATTATATCATCGATCTAATCTTTATCTATATTTCTCATTTCACAAACAAGGTTAATATGCTCTTTAGGAGTTAGATCTTGATAGAGGAAATCATTTTATTAACATAGTCTAATATTACTTCTGCACTATTATATGTCATTTTGAAGATCATAGCCATAAATAGTAGCTTGGCCTGAATCCGGCTTAATAAGTCCCACAAGCAAATTGATCAAAGTTGTTTTGCCAGCACCGTTATTTCCAAGCAAGCAAACAATTTCATTTTATTGGATTTTTAAGGAAAAATCTTTTAACACTTTATTTCCTTGGTAAGACTTGCACAAATCCTAAATATTTATGCAATCATCCATTAGCAAAGCTTCTTCCAATATTCTTGAAGTTGATGTATAATTATCTTCGCTTTGAATCACAGATTTTCTGTTAAAATTTGAATAATCTCTTCTCTTTTTTTTCCCCCTCGAAAATCTTTCACAAATTCTATATCTAAATTTATAAGGATGTATTTGACTTAAGTGTTTGGATAAGATGTATACAAAGAACCAAAACGGGATATTTGCTAATAACACACTGAATTGAATAGTATGATTGATTTCTAAGATCTTTTTGCTATCTTCAAAGTAAGATCTAAGATATAGCTATAATAATTTTTGATGTGGTAGGTGTGGCAACCATGAAAAGAAAAGTAAAATGTATTGATGTTGATCAAATACGAATACCAATATCCCAATATACATAAATATCGGTAAAAACAGAGTCAAAAATCCAATTTGAGTAGAGAATTTTGAATCATTAAAAGCATTTGTAATAGCTAGAGAAAACAAAATCATTGCTTCTCCAAACAAGAAGTTAGCTAGAAAGAATAGAGGAATCTCACTAATTCCTTAAATGATTGGGATATTGGGTAGAGTTATCATCAAAGCTGTGTAGAGGCAATTAACAGATTAAACTATAAAGAAACTGAGGCCGTAAGCACTGGCTCTGACATTCAAAGTACAAAGCGCCTTATATATCTGCAGCTCTTTTTCCTTGACTACTTGGAACATTATGAATCTGCAAGTGTTTGCAAAAAGCAAAGGAATTGCTGAGGTCTAAACAAAATTAAAGCTGTAAAATGCCATTCTACTTTATATTTAGTCTTCATCTTAAATTGTTTTTGGCAGAACTAGATTTATGATTAGTATTATTATTGCAATGAATAATGGTAGTAAATATTCTAGTAATGTGTCTCATTTATTTCTAGCTTTGATAAGCAAATTCTTCAAAGTTAAAACCTTTACTCTTAAGGTTGGCAAACAAACATTCAATCCGCCACCTTTTGGCATAAATTACAAACAAATTTGGTTCAGATAATTTGTTTGAAATAACAATCACTAAGTTATTTTCAGTACTTCTAGTTGCCTGCATCTGCAATAATAGACCATTAATTTTTACCTTATGGCTGAGCACCCCTCCTTGACTTACTTGCTTAAATAGCTTACCAGATTTAATCTGCTTGCCATCAACATCAAGCCAAATATTACTCTTAACTCTGATTACGAAATTAATCCCAGTCTCAATTAAATACTTAAACCAATCCTCACCAATAAATTCACGGTCGGCTAATAAATAGTCAATTCTATCTGCACCAAGTTCAGAGACAAAGCGAGCT